TCAGTTTAGTTATTACAGTTCTTTTTTTTTTTTAACTTCCCAGACTGAATTTATCTCTAAAAGATCAATTAGATGTGTTTTACATTTTCTGTAGGACATTGGTGAAGGAACACTAGGGTTATAGAAGAGTAACAGAAAAATAATGGAGGGGCTGGAGAGGTTGCTCAGTGGTCAAGAGCACTTGCAGAGGACCCAGGTTTGATTCCCAGCACCACATGGCAGCTAACAATCATTTGTAACTCCAGTTCCAGGGTATCTGATGCCCTCATCTGACCTCCGAGGGCATGGTACAACACTGGTGCACTTACCTACATGCAGGCAATACATTCATACACATAAAATAAAAATAATAAAATATTTTTAAAAAACTTTTAAAAAATAAAATAAAAAGTGATTAAAAGTATTTCAGATGAAAAATTATTATATGTATATGTATAATCACACATAGCCATACACCCCAAATACAGCTTGAAAAATAAAACATTATAAGTACAGGTGAAGCCCTTTGGAATATAGTCTCTTATGGTTTATAAAGACATAACTTCATGCTGATCTTGATGGTCATTCTGTTTGCCTTTTTGGTACTTTTAAAAAGCATGGTCTAAAAATGTGACCTCAGTGATTTGTCCTTAAATAAGTGAATTTTAAACCTTTGGGCTGTGACTGCTGTTAGAACATCTAATCACTTGTGACTAGGCATTTCTCTGCTTTACTGTCTTTGTGAAGTTGGTTTCTGATGGTATTTTAACCATAATTAAAAAGTTATCTTATGTTCTCCATATTAAATTAGAGATGGAGTTTGGAGTGGTTAGTAGCTTCACCAAGACCATATAGTACATCAAAGACTAGGGACCAAACTCAGCTCTTTAGATATCTCTTCAGGGGCTTCCTTCTTCATTCCATGGAGTGATCCTTGCAATTTTAGGGATTGATCTTAAGGTGGATGGGGTGAGGAGTGTTAGAGAGAAAGGGGAGGAAGGGGACAAGAGAAGAAAATATGTATGTATGTATATATATATATATATATATTTTTTTTTTTTTTTGAGACAGGGTCTCTCTATATCCCCAGCTGGCCTAGAACTTGCTATGCAGATCAGGCTGGCCTTGAACTCACAGAGATCCGCCTGCCTCTGCCTCTTGAGTGCTGGGATTAAAGGTGTTTGCCACCATGCCCAACTTTCTCTAAATATTTTAACCGAATATTTCTCTGAATATTTATTTCTGTAGGGAAAGAAACAGTGAAGCCACATCAGTCTGGAAACTTCTTATAGAAGGAGGCCCTGTGTCCCCTAGAGCCTTTGAATCCCAATTGTATTTTTTAAAATTTCCTGGAAATAATGATAGTTTGAATATTAAGAGGTTTTCAATAGTCTCTTTACCTTCCAGTTAATTTTCTGATCTTTGTTAAGATAATTGAATGAGAAAAATAGGAATGGTCATAATCATCTCTTTACATGTTACATCTATCTAATTTTTGACATATTCTGCCAGTTAGGATTTTAATTTCTTTTTTCTTTATGTAGTTTGTGCTGTGTTAACAACAGAAAACTTTCTATTTGAAAGTAAGTTATTTTTTCTGCTTTTGTTTAGTGGCTAGTATATCAGAGTACTGAGTGAAACAGCACAAATGGAATGATGTGCAAACATGCTTTTAAAACCTTTTTGGAGAAAAACCCGATTCTGAAAATAGCAATGTAGAATTATATGCATATACTTTCCCTTTCAGGTTTTTAATATAATAAATTTAGTTCATTCTTGGGTCAGATGACTAAGCTTGATTCATAATATTTGCACAGGGCAGTGCCTCTCATGAATATAGCGGCAGCTGAAGATTATCTTTCTCAAGTCTGTTCCTTAAATCAACTAGTTGGCTTAATTATTTGCTTCCTCCTATGTATACACATTTGGAAACTTATAATACCATTGATTATATTCTTGAGGGTGAATGAAGCTACTAATAATAGTGTTGTCAATGCTGCAAGTATTCACAGAATAGTTTTATTTACTTTTTTTTTTTTGAGACAAGGTCTCACTCTGAATTTCAGTCTAACCTTTCCTGCCTCAGCCTCCTAAGAGCTGAGATTATAGGAATAAACCACCATGCCTAGGCCAAGATAATTGTATTTTAATAAGCAATTCATATAGCTTACTTGTCTTTGAATATATTAGATCAAGTTATCTTACAGAGTCTTCAGATACTAGTAGGAAAAATTCCTTTCCATATTGGGTTGAGGAGGTGAGAAGTAAAGTAATTCAGTATCCTTTTAACTAGGTGTTACTTTGATCATGGTTCCCAAGTGTGTTTCTTTCATCTGTTTGTAAGGACTTAAATTTTTTTAAATTTATTATTTTTATTTTATGTGTATGAATGTATTGCCTACATGTATATAAGTGCACCTGTGTTGTGCAATGCCCCCAAAGGTCAGAAGAGGGTATCAGATTTCCTGGAACTGAAGTTATGGACAGTTGTTAGCTGCCATGTGGATGCTGGGAACCTTGAACTCAGGCCCTCTGCAGGAGCAGACAATGCTCTTAACCGCCAAGCCATCTCTCTCTAGCCCCTGTAAAGACTTTCTTAAGGGAGGATATGTGTTTGAGAACACTTTTTGAAGTTTGTTTTGTTTTATTTTGAGACAGGGCCTAATTTTGTAGTCCTGGCTGGCCTTGAATACACAGAACTCTACATGTTTCTGCCACTGGAATCCTGGGATTAAAGGTGTCTACCACCATACCCAGCCATTTTTTAAAGTTTAAAAAAAATCTAATTTGTGTTGAATATTTGTTTTTTAAATATTTTATTTATTACTTTTATTTTATGTGTGTGCATGTATTGCTTGCATATAGGTAAGTGCACCTGTGTTGTTCAATGCCTGCAGAGGGCAGAAGAAGCTGTGGGATCCCCTGGAACTGGTGTTATGGACAGTTGTTAGCTGCCAGGTGGCTGATGGGATATGAACCTGGTCTTCTGCAAGAACAGTCGGTGTTCTTAACCGCTGAACTGTGTCTCCAGCCCTGTGGTGAATATTTGTAACAGAAGAAATTTTCCACACTGGTTAATTTTTCCCCATGTTGCTCCAAAAGGTAGGTAAAGCTAAAAAATGTGGTATTTTTTATCATTGCATATTATTTCCAGGATTACTTAATACTCCTATAATCTTGATAGCATATATGTCTACTACTTCTACTCAGTTCTTAGGGACTTCGTTTTACTGAAATTATTTTAAATCTAGATGCACATTTCCCATTGACACTGCCAAAACACAATTTGTCACTGTGATTACAGAATTTGTTTGTGGGTAAAAGGGTTAGAATTTTCTTCAATCTATATTAGAGATCCATGTTATAAATTTTTCTCCCTGTCTTGTTTTGAATTATCATCTGTTTAGGGTTTTTTCTTTATTTGATTTTTAGAAAATGTATGTTTTTTTATCTTAATGTTTTTGAAGTATAAATACCAATACGTCTGTTTGTTTGTTTTGCTATAATTAAGCTATGTTGAGGAGATAAAGACATACTCCTTGCCCTCAGAAAGATGATGATACTGCTTTTTACACCAAAGTTAGTGGACTACAGGTTCTTAATATACTGTATTCATGTGATTTTATTGATATTCCTATATTAACAGAAAAAGAAAATACATTTTGTTTTTCTTTACCTTTTGGAGTTAAATTAAAAATTTTTTTTTTTTTAAAACTCCCTATGAAGCTGTGGATGACTTGAACTTTAGATCCTTCTGCCTGGTACCATTAATTGGGCCAGAAACCTGTAGCTGGCTAGGTCATTGGTCCTAGGGAAGAAACTAGTACAGTTATTGTGCTAAATAGACGTAGCAATAAATTTTCCCCTAAGCTGGTATCTTTATACTGATCTCTTAACTTTAATCAGAGAAGCTTGGTTTTGTGTTAGTGATTAATATAGAGATCTACAACCAGTCAGTGGAGTGCTCATCTCCTAATGGGACATTTATACTGCACCCCCAAGGCTCAGGGAGAATTGGGAAAAAGGGCTTGGAAAGAGTATCAGAGCCAGAGGGAGTATATGTCTGTATTGAAGTAGTGTTTGCCAAACACGAAGGCACAATTGCACACATGAACCCATAGCTGTTGAGACTGCAAGCCCAAGACTTGCACAAGATCATGTCAGCTAAACTCCCAGCATGGATGGGAAGGGCTAATGAAGTACCAACTTTAGCTGAGGAGCTACTGACAATTGACCTCTTCTGGGGGGTGTATAATTTTCTTCAGGGGTTTGTCCTCTGAGAGGCTATTCATGCTACAATAGATGATCTCGCACTACAGGCTGAATTAATTTAACTCAGTGGGTATTAGAAAAAAAAGGTGCTGGAGAGATGATTCAACAGATAGGAGCACCTGTTGCTCATGAAGAGGACTTGGCTTTGCTTCCCAGCACACACATGGTGGCTCCAACTGCTTGTAACTAGTTCCAGGGGATCCAAGGCCCTCTTCTGGCCCCCACAGGCACCAGGCATACACATGGTGCACATACATACATGCAGGCAAAACATACATACATTTGAAATAAAAATGATAAAATATAAAGAGTGTACATGAAGTCGGGAGGGCAAAGTGATGGGGGGATAAGGGAGGAATTATAAGGGAGGAAATGGGGTGTGTATTTTATCTGAATACATATGCATGTATGGATATTAAGTAAAATATTTAGAAAGATTGCAAGAGTGTGTCACCATGCCTGGCTTGCTGTGTACTTTCTGAACAAAAATTCTTGGAATTGTAGTTTGAGGACAACAAGAATCATAGCATTCGTGGCACATATCCTGAGTAATGTATGGCCTTTGCTATCTTCAACCAGCTTTAATTTTTTTTCTCAATACTCATAAAAACATTTTATTTAAATTAAGCATGCCAATTTAATTATCTCTTGGTAAATATTATATAATAGTAATTCTCTGAAAAGAGGCCCCAATGTTGCTTAGGTAACAAGAAGTTTGCAAGAAGTAGGTTCATTTCTTTCTAAAATGTAACTAGCAGCTCATTTGATTTAAAACTTGGAACTACATTAAATATGAAGCAAAATTGGCTTTTATAAGTATTTTTTTAAATCACTGTTCTTAAACATGTTTGAGCTATGATGTTAATATTGAACTTTCTAGGGCATTTAATGCTTTTATAGCTTACCAAAGTTTATGAAATACTGCTAAAGATAATTTCTATTTAGTTTTCTTGCAAGAAGAGGGTTGTTGACACATTTTCTTTAACTTTGTCCAACTGTAGATAAGTGTTTTAGATTAAAAAGTGGTTGACAAAAATACCAACATTTTCCCTATAGTAACCGCAATCTTCCTGGGCTTGTGTAAATTTTTTTCTATTAAAAATTATAGATATAAGAGCTGGGCCTGGTGGTGCACAACTTTAATCCCAGCACTTGGCAGGTGGAGACAGGTGGATCTCTGTGAGATGGAGGGCAGTTTGGGTTATATAATGAGTTCCAGGCCAGCTGGGGCTACATGGAAACCTTGTCTCAAAAAGATCCACCAAAATATAGATATAGCTATGTTTCAATTTATAAGTATTACAATTAGCAATGCAGGAATACTTTGTATCTTAAGCAGTATATTTACATGACATAACAAGATCTACTTGAATTTTGATGATCTATTGGGTTTCACATTTCTTTCACATTTCTCAATATAAATATTTTAGTTCTAAAATAATTTCTTTTAAAATTAGCTTTATATTATTATTGCTGCAGTGTTGGGGACTCATCCCTGGGGGCCTTGTGCATGCTAGTCAAGTGTTTAATCACTGAGTGACATTCCCAACCATTATTAATTTCTGATATATATACATATATATGATTATATTTATAAAGAGGCAAGTAAATACATCATCTGGTAGAAGTGTACACTAGAATCATGGTGACAGGTATTCTGGTGCCATTTTCAGTTGTGAAGGTATTTTTTTAGGATGGCTAAAACTAGCGATCTGAGGAAATAGTGAGATTATGGAACCTGGAAAGCCACTGCCAAGTAAAATATATGACAAAGCCCAAAGTCACTAAGATACTCTTTGTATTAAAGTTAAGTTTGATGTGTTTGGAAAAATAATTTTAAAATTGGCGAAGGTCTTGCATAGTTCTAGTGAGGAACTAGACAAAGGCAATCATTGCATTATCAAGATGGTGGTAGATGCGTGTACCTCCAGCATGCTGTAGGCTGAGGCAGGACCATTGTGAGTTCAAGGCTACATTGGGCTACAGAGTGAGACCTTATTTGAAAAAAAACAACAACAACTCAAGACTGGTGATACAGCTCAGTGGAATGGTGCCTACCTAGCAGGTGTATGACTCTGGATTTGATCCCTAGCACCACAAAACCCCCAAACAATTCTACCCACCTTAATTTATGAATTTTCCTTTTCTACAAATGGTAAAGCCCTATTGTGTTACCATTGATCAATCATTGTATGCTAAGTACATTTAGTGCATTATTTAATTTAATTCATTTTAATGTAAGTTGAAAAATTCCCATTTTGATAGTAAAGAATTTGAGTTTTAAACATGGTTAATTCACCTATGTTGTTAGTAATTGACAGAACAAGTATTTTGGTTGAAATATATCAGTCTAGAACTTATTTCTGGTTGATGATATGTCATTGTTATTTATCAAATAATTATGTCATTTTTTAATTATGGCAAAAATTTCAGACTCACAAAAACCTAAAAATACACAAAGCAACTGCTATGAAGCAAAGGAGTTTATATAACTTCACATTATTCTTCTATCCCAATAGATACATTATATCATTCTCCAGTGTTTATGTGTTGCTATTTGTATCAGTGGTACTCTACAGCTTAAGATGGAGTCATATCAATAATACATAGGTTTTTTTCCCCAATATGTTGTAGAGTCATATCAATAATACACAAGATTTTTTGCCAGTAGGTTGGCTTAGATATTAGATAGCATTCACTACTGAACTGAATAGAAGAAAAATTTAGGTTTTAAGTTTCTAATTCTGTACATGTATCTACATCTATATCTATATCTGTATCTATATCTATATCTATATCTATATCTATATCTATATCTATGACTTTCAGGGAATAAAGAGCAGAGTTCCCCTTAATAAGCATATTATTTTTCTAGGGCTGCTAATGGCACACAGACTAGTGACCCAAACAACAGAATTTTTTTGTTCACATTTCTGAAGTTCAAGGTGTCAGCTTGGTTGGTTCATTCTAGGGGCTGTGAGAGAGAATCAGTTTGGGAGGCACTCTTGAGTGTTTTGGGCTCTTAGATGTATTACTCTGAACTCTGCCTTCATCTTCACATGCTTTCCCATTATTTATAAGCTATTTAGTAGTGTTAGAAAAAGAGCCACACTAATGACTTCATCTTAATTTAATCATTTGCAAAGACTCTATTTCCAGATAATATCACATTCATAGGAACTGAAGGTTAGGGCATCGTTGTCTTTTGAGAAGATGCAGTTCAACCCATTAGCAATAGGTAGCTTTTCTTAGATACCATATTTGAAACATCTTTAGCAGTGATTATATATATATGTTTGAAAATTTCAAAATATTAATGTAATGTCATTAGATGAGCTACATATGAATATTTGTTTGGGGACAATACTGATTTTGAACTTGTCTGTTATTATAAAACTATAGGGTTAATAAATTGGAAAACTATTGAGAATAGTTTTCAATAAATTAAGATATGATTATATAAATTAATATAAAATGTGTGGGATGAAATAAGATCAGCAGAGTTGGTGATAGGTTAAAGATTTCCATAGACATTTTAGGCAAGAGTATGTTGCACAGGAAGATAGAGCAAGGTTAAAGTCCTGATGTAATAATAATTATTTTATATGTAGTAAACTGTGGTGATAGAGGTTAGTTTTGGAGGCAATTATGCAGTCAAGAAATCCTAGCTTGAGTCCTTTAAACTGGTTGATGTGAGTTTTACCTATTGGATCGCAAAGATTTGATAAGGATTTATTTTAATTTCTTTCTGTAGAATCTTTGGAGTATATCACTAACAAGAACAACATGACATACAGCCTTACTACTCAGAGCTAGGCACTATTAATATTTTTGCATCATGATGTAATTTTTGTCGAGTCCCTGCCATGTTTTTCATTGAGATTATACCAAATAAGCAACTTTCTAAAATAAAGTAGACTCCATAGTGTTCTCTAAATAAATATCTGAATTTGAGATTTATTGGGTGATTAATCTGATGGTCACTGGTAATGAGTTGGGTCACCATATTTCCAGATATCATTAGGTCAAGCCAGCTTGTCTTGTGTGATTGAGTCCTTGTCCCTCCTACACTCATGCTGCTGCAGACAGTTTTGCTGATCATGCTGTTAACTCATCTAGTTAGGAGGGGGTCAGGCTTTTTGTCACATTGGGCACCTCTGCAATCCTTTTCACCTCTTCTCCATCTTCCACTTTCTCCAGAACTACTCAGTGTTTTCAGAGTCTTCTGAGCCCCTTTGCACCAGGTTTCACTTCTTACCTCCACTAAAAACGTCTTCTTTTTCCTCCTTGTTCCCTCTCCAGCAGGTATTTTCTGTAGTACTAATAGCAAAAATAATTCCTCTATGAAACCTTTATTCTAAGCCAGGTTTTTCTTCTTTTAGACGCTATAGTATTTCATATAAAACCTATTTTAGAAGCGGTTGCAAGATATTGTAGAGTCCAGTTTTCATCTTTTTCATCCTTATTAGACTTTTAAAACATTTGCTGTATTTTAAATTTATTCTTTGGGAATTTTATGCATGTATACAATGTAATTCCATCATGTAGACTGTTTTTAAGTGTTCTGCCAGGCACTACAGATTTTGGAAACCCAAATGAAGAACAGTCTTCCAAGTTTATAGCCTAGTGGAGGATTCCCAGCTTTAGTGATTCCATGGGGGATAATGGTAAAGAATATTATAAAGTCTTAGTTGTTAAAATTAAAAATTAAAATATGTCTGAGGGGCTGGAGAGATGGGTAAGTGGTTAAGAATATGTACTGCTCTTGCAAAGGACCTGAGTTCAACTCACACCACTCATGTCAGGCAGCTCACAACCTCTTGTAACTCCATGTCCAGGGTATCCAATGCCTCTGACCCCCTGGGCACTAATGCTCATGTGGGCATACACACACACACACACACACACACAATTAAAAATAGTAAAAACCCCTGAAAAGCCTTTGAAAATGTAATTGTGACTGAACATGTTTGAACAGTGCTTTAATGCTAACAAAGTTTTTTTGTTTACAGGTGGCAGTGGACTTGCATCACAGGTTTTAGCAGATGTTTTCAATAGTTCATTGAATGCTCCTCATCTGTGCCTGCAAGAGGCGCCCCAGAGCTTCATCTCCATGGTAGGTGCTATATTTCGTTATGATGCTGCAATTTTCCACTGCATCATTCCTGTTCTAGCCAAGGAGCTGGGTTAGAATTTAGCTTTTTGTTTTTGTAAATAGCTATACAAAGCTGAAAGGAAAATTTTAGTAATATTGATGCTGCTACTTTTTGAGGTTGTATATTATGCCTTGTTTTTGTACCTGTTCACAGACCTCTCAAACAATGCTTGGCTCTTTAGCCTTTGATTTTGAGTTGTATATATTAACTACTTCTTATGGATTTTTAATAGTTTTCAGTCTGAATATTATCCTCTTAAATAATGAAGAGGAATAACATTAATTTTATTTACAATATTTTTCAGTGATGTATAATTAGCTCCCAAGCTCTTATGAAACAGATTCAACTTGAAACTAGTAAAATTCCATTTCAATAATTGGTAGCAACATTTTATTATAAAACCTCTGTATTAAGAGGAACGAATACTGTAGTTAAAAATTAAAGTACTTTTTTCTTCATGAAAAGTGGGAGTATTTTTCAGAATTTTGGGAAATGTCAAAGTAATTTTGACTGTAGTCATATTGCATTTAATGCTATTGAGAATATTGCCAACATTAACAAAAATATTCTGTAATTTCCTCAGTTATTGCTACTGGTGATGAGGGATGTGAAGTTGGCGTGCTTTCATGTTTGGAGTATTACCATTAGACACTCTCATTCCACATCTCAGAAACAGTCTTTATTTTCGTTAAGGCAGTTGAGAACATTTTTAGTTGGGCATAGAGGTCAGGCTTGATGACTGTACATTTACATCTATGATATGTAGAATATAACAAGTGTATCAGAGTAAACATATGTCAATTTTCATGTATCAGATGGATTTTATACACTTCTGAAATTTTTTTTTAGTTTAATAGTGGCTTGGCATAAAATATGGGTTTTATTTTATATTAATAATGTTATCCTTTTTTTTTCCTCCATGACAACTGGTAACACTCATCTTGCAAATGAATACTATTGTTGACCAGGTAGCTTTGGCAAGAAAATTGATCAAACAGCAAGTTCATTTCCAGTGTTGAAAAGCACGTGGTACTCATCACTACTGAGGGTGAGTCATCTCATCTTCATACATGGCAAATCCCATGAATATTTCTTTCTTTGTAGTCTTATAAAACAACAATTTGGTCTAAACTTTGTTTAATGAGACATCATTGGGATGTTTAGCTATGATGCTTCATTACTTGAGTATAGGAATCACCTTAACAGTCAATAGGAATGAATATAGTGGTGTCTTGGGAGAAGGCTCAGAGGGTGAAGTATTTGTTGCACAAACATAGGACCTGAGCTCAGGTCCCTAGCACTCACAGAACAGCCAGATATGGTAGCATGTCTGTGACTACAATGCTGATGTTGGGGGAGAGGGGGATTCTGGGATCTCACTGGCCAACCAGCCCAGCCAAAATGGTGAGCTCCAGATTCGACGACAGAATCTATCTCAAAAACTAAAGTGAAGAGTGATTGAAGCCTGATGTCCACTTCTGGTCATTGAGTAATCAGATGGATGTACACAGGCACATTTTTGAAAAATTTGTTTTAGATGACATGTCTAAGTATTACTACTTTTATTGTATATTATACATTTTAATTATATATGATGATTATTACTTTTATTATATATTATTCAAAATGAGTCTACTGTAAACCTTTATAGTGGGACTAGCCTTTGGGAAAGTTTTGAATATTATACTGCAAATAAAGAAAGAGTTGATGTGCAAATCTGAGTTGAATGCTGGATAGAATAATTCTTTTATGACTATGATAATAATATGTCATTATTTTCTCAGCTCTATGCTAATTGTTTCTTATATCTTAGTCTATTTCCACAGCAGTCATATGGTAGGAATTCTTATCATAGGATTAAGGATGAGAAATTAAGACACAAAAAAGTTGGATTCAAACTCAGAGCTGGTGACCTCCAAGCCCCTTATAAATGATGTATTAAGCTGTGTGGAACTTTTATGTCACAAATACAGATGGGACTGCTTCATTCCTGAAGTCTAGTCTGGCTAATTAAATAATTTTGTACTATAACATTTTTGATTGTGGTGCACCAAAATGTGTCCAGACAAAACATTTGTTGTTGTGACTGTACAAGGACATAACATTTGACAATCTTTCAGCATATTAGGTACTATTTTTAGTGTTTTGTGTTTATACATGTGCATTTGTCACATGAATTCTTTTTTTAAGACAATCTTTACTATATAGCCATAGCTGGCCTCAAACTCAGTATCTTCTGTCTCAACTTCTGGGCTATAGAAATTCCAGGCATATACCACTACCCCTGGCTAGAATTCTCTAAGTAGAATCTTGGCAGTACTTCCTTGGAGTACTTGGGTAGTATATCTTGAGTATCTTCCCTACTTTTCATGTAGGAGAATTGCCATTTAATTTTCAATTTGCTACAGGCTGAGATCATAGTTCAATGAAATACTTATATATAAATATAAGACATCATTTAAAATCATAGTATTAGTTTTCTAACATACATCATGAAACATACAATGTTTGTTTGACCATTGTCAATGAAAAACACTTGCAGAATTGTTTAGACATTATATTAACCTGTGTTTCTGTGAAGTTTATTTATTTATTTTTAGTTTTGTGGTCCTGGAGATTGAATTCTGGGCTTTGCACATGTTAGGCTATGGCCTCACATCTCTGTGATTTTATTTAAAATCCTTCACTGGCTTTTATTATTTGTAATGTATTTAAATACTTTATTATTTTTATGAGTGTATTGCCTACATGTGTATAAACGCACCTTTAGAAGAGAGCATCGGATCCCCTGGAACTGGAGTTATGGACGATTGTTATCTACCATGTGGGTACTGGGAACTGAACCCAGGTCCTCTACAAGAGCAGCCAGT